TAATGGAGTTGCTTAGACAGATAATTACTACAAAAAAAGTTCAGATAGTCATAGGTTACTCCCCTTGCTATTCATGCAGAAAGGCAGCATCAATATCACCTAGGAACTTGTTACAAATGCAGGATATCTGAGGCACCACTCCATACCTAGTAAATCAGAATCTGCATTTTATGAAGATCTGTACATAATTGTTTATTTAAATTTGTTTGTTTGTTTTGTTTTATATGTTAAGATGCTGTTGTGGAACTGTTGGGGGGAGGGGAAAAAGGGAGGGAGATAGGGTGGAAGGTGGGGTGTGGTTGAGGACTGAGGCACCCCCTCATTCTGGCAGGGGAAACTGGGGCACTTCTGGTCGTGGTTTGGTCTTAGGTGGGCTAGATGCAGATGTTGTGAAGGCATGGCTGAGGACTGCAGTCTCTCACTGCCCTGGCTTGGGAGCCCAGGGTGCTTCCAGTGGCAGCTCAGTGGTCATCACTGGACTGGATGCAGACTTCAGGGGGTCATGACTGAGGCCCTTGGCCTCCCACTGCCCTGGCTTGGGAGCCCGGGGTGTTTCCAGCAGCTGCTTGGTGGTTGTCATTGGGCTGGATGCAAATATCAGGGGGAGGGGCATGGCTAAGGACCTTGGCCCCCCACCTCCCAGGCTTGGGAGCCCAGGGGGCTTCTGGTCCTTCTACATTTTATAGGCATTCTTTGCTGGTGTTAGACCTTTACTAATTAATATCAGAAATTTGTCTCTGATCTCTGGGTTTGTTCGTTTTTTTTCTTTCACACTCGAGTCCTGTGGTTGAGCTAAATTGCTGCTTTGCTGCTGATTCTCTGGAGAAGGCCTTTTGTGCAGCTCAGGTTTTCATTGTTGACCCTGTAAGCACTTCCAGGTCTTGTGAGGTCTGGAATACCTGGGTTGTGTGGAAACTCTAGTCTGGGCCTGAGTCTTTTCAACAGACTGCACCCCCTGCAGTTCTATATTCCCAACCAGTCTACTCCGAGTGGGCCTGTGCTGACCTGAGGGCAGATCAGCTGTCCATGCTGTGCTCCAATGTTCCCCCTCGTGGGCCCATCTCCCCCAACCCCTGCACTCCAAACACTTCTGATGGGATAAGACATGCCGGTCCCTAGCGATTAATCACCAGTCTCTGAGTGGCTCCTCTTTTCAGTTGTATATGGCCCCTCGCTCCCATGTATGGCCCCTCACTCCTATGTTTCACTAACAGGAAACCTGTTAGTGGTCTTGCTGGCCTGGGGGCCACCAAGGCCCTCTTCTCCCTTGCAACCTCACACAAAGGGCATAGCAGCAGCTTTGGCCAGCTCTTGTTCTGAGTGCTCACTGGGGCTTGAAATAGTTGGAGTGGTGCTTTCTCTCATCGTGGCTTTTCCTGTCTTCATGAAGTCTGTATGTCTCCCTTCCTCTTCCCCTTAACTCTAGCAGCCTTGCCGTCATTGCATTTTAATAGTTGTAAATTGGCTGACTGTGGGAGAGGGTGACACTGGGTACCATCTATTCTGCACCTTGATCAGAAGTCTGCCATGAAACCAGTCCTGGCCCATGTCACACTCCATCATGAAGTGTGCCCCATCATAAAGCAGCCGGTAGAGGCAATACTCCAGCACTGAGGCCATCTCCACCTGGCTTTGGAGCATTCTGCAATGGGCCAGCAACATGGTGTCAAGAGGGGTGGGAGACAGCAGCACGCATCCTCTCTGGACAAGGGCTCACTCTCCTTCCCCTCCAGCCACCTGCCGGGTCACGCAGCACTAGCTGCTAGCAGTGCTTCAGGACAGCCTTCTCCACTGCTCCCCCCATTGGGGCCTATTGGAGACTGTGGGTTGGGCCTAGTCTGGCCACCACCC